AATTTGTTAAGGCAAGTTATGAATAATAAACACTCACATTACAATTATACAGTTGAAATCTGAACATACAATTTTTGAGCACGGGAAAAAACTTGGAGGTTGGTGGTAAGACTGGGAGGCGGTCGGTCCCGGGAAACACCTTTTTTGTTTTTTTAGATGGGTGGGGGGGGGGGGGAGGGGTTAAGTGAAGTGGTAGGAGGGGAACGGAATGGGTGAATGGGCTGACATGATGAAAGGGTGCATGGGATGAGATGATGAATGGGAGAAAATGAAAGGGTTGAGGAGATGAAGGAGTTTATGGGATGAGATGATGAGAGGGGTAAAGATGAAAGGGTTGATGGGAGATGATGAATGCGTGGATGAGATGATAAAAGAATGAATAGGAGATGATGAAAGAATGGATGGAGATGATGAAAGAATGGATGGAGATGATGAAAGAATGAATAGGAGATGAAAGAATGGATGGAGACGATAAAAGGGGTTGGATGAGAGAATAGATGGAGATGAAAGAATGAATAGGAGATGAAAGAATGGATGGAGATGATAAAAGGGGTTGGATGAGAGGATGGATGGATGGATGCGAGATAAGATGATTTTCGTTATCAATATTCAGAAAAACTAAATAAAAACTCTTAAAAAGGAAATACTTTCACCTGTGGTCCGAGATTATGTTTTTGATCTTGTATGGAGCTTTGGTTTACCTGTAATCGATTTCGAGAGTTCTTCGTTTGCACCAGTGATTGCTATGGTGGTTGAAAGTGACAGTATTAGCCTAGTTACGGTGGATGAACCACAGCTCTTGGGTTCCGCCTCTCGACCCTCTCACAGTCGACTAGTGTACAGAGTTCCAGATCTGTGTATGGAGTCGGCTTTCAGCACTTTTTTTTTGTATTCACTCTTGGCACCGAAAAAAATTATATCTAATAAATCTGTCACTCATTTGAGTACTCATTTCTTATCTGCGGCCCCTAATTGCTCGTGTACCACCCGGGTTAAGTAGTCTGTCCTTGGCTGCCCTGTCTATTCCCTTGAGTATTTTCTATGTCGTGATCACAACCTCCCTGTTTCTCCTCTCTCCTAGTGACGTGAGACTTGGTTCCTTCAGTCTTTCATCACAGACAAACCAGGGACAGGATCATCAAGTATTTAACTGTCCAATTACGAAGCCTATACATCTCTCCCACTACCATTGGCGGCTTATTTTGAATTATTAACCAGTTAATATGAACTCCGAAACTCTATACGAGATCGTCTGCATCAATAACAACCTTCGATCGTGAATGACCTCGCAGCCACCCCGAGCTCGTAAACGGGTTAATACTGACCAATCCGCCATGATCGAGATAAGATGTACTGCTTTCGTAAGTAGGAACATAAATGCTTCATGAATCCAGCTCCCAGTTCTTAATAAGCCGCACGAGACTAATCACTGGTCACAAATGCACAAATTAGAGCTTTAATTATCCATAGAGATATGTTAACTCATTAGTGATCTAAGTGGGGAAAATAGTCTCAACGACAAATTGAGATCGAGAACATATGGTCTTGAATTAACTCATCTCGCAATTAGCAACTAATTGGCAGGGATCTTTACAGTGTGTTGAACCGTGACTGGTCACGTCAAGAGGCTCACGGAGTAAGATCTTGGACCTGAAAGAGAGATGTACCTACCTCCCTCCCTCCCTCTTTCTCTCTCCCTCTCTCTCTACACCGTCGTTACTCTTTAATGAAATCTAACCCAACCCAAGAACTCCTCCAACACCTTCACCATCTCACTAACCCCTTTACCACCACACTACTACCACCACCACCCCAACCATCAACCTCCACCACCACACCAACCCTTCACCACCACCACATAACACAATCAAGCAACCATGAGTCTGACTGAGTCTAATATGCTATCATTTTAAACAGCTGAGAATGCTGACCTGCAGAAGCAACCACGCACGCAACAACCACCCTTGGTGATCCTGGCCCTAGAGGTCAGAATATCGCCAGCCCGTTGCCCAAGGGAATGCAAGCCCAGGATCCCAACCCAATATTTACATTATCTGATTTCACGTGTACATGAATCACAATGTTTGAAACACACTTTGTTCCATTCCCATCACGCGCCCTAGACAATGTTTTCCCAAAGAATACACATTTTATATATAGCAATATATATATATATAACCCATTGAAGGCTTGTCTGGTCAATTCCATTACAAACGACGACCTCGTTAGAGGTTAACGACAGTAGATTTCACGAGAAAGAAATTCGCTAAAGAGCTCAACGAACCCTCGTTAATTAACGCTTTAACGCGTTACTGATCCTCCTGTTTGCTGATATATTGCCAACGATAACCGGGACTAGTTGATGGTTGTAGAGGTGATGACCTGGTTGGGTGATTGGTTGAGGTGGAAAAGTGAGGGGGAAATAAGAGGGATGGGTATGGTGGAAGGGGGGGCGGGTGATGGGTATGGTGGAAGGGGGGGCGATGGGTATGGTGGAAGGGGGGGCGATGGGTATGGTGGAAGGGGGGGGGGGCGATGGGTATGGTGGAAGGGGGGGGGGGCGATGGGTATGGTGGAAGGGGGGGGGGCGATGGGTATGATGGAAGGGGGGGCGATGGGTATGATGGAAGGGGAGGGGTTAAGTTCGTGAGTGACCCTGAGTGACCACCACTGACAAATACGGGTGAAGAGATTGGCATTCATAGCATGTAAAATAGGAGTGATCCTTTAATACACTCTGAGGTGGGGTTGTAGAGTGTGTGTGTGTGTGTGTGTGTGTGTGTGTGTGTGTGTGTGTGTGTGTGTGTGTGTGTGTGTGTGTGTGTGTGTGTACTCGCCTATTTGTACTCGCCTATTTGTACTCGCCTATTTGTACTCACCTATTTGTACTCACCTATTTGTACTCACCTATTTTTGTTATATTTACGAAAGCAAAGCACAAAGTTTGTTATATTCTGAATTTCTCTATTCAAGATGTTGTTGTAGGCCACGAACACGTGAGACTACATAGCTAAGATAGTCCGTGTCACCCGTTCCTCAGGCATAGTCTGCAGGCTTCTCAAAATACTCAAGAATATCAACATGTACTGAAGAATATTATTTCATGGGCTCCAAGGAAAGAGACATCTTCCTTCAGTAGAGAATGTTTACCTTGAGCAAGAACAGACCAAAATCATTCTAACAGGAGAGTTCTACCCAGACACAAAGTAATTAAAGTCTGATTCGCCGACATGTGCTCCCAAAATAGGGAATGTGACATATAATTACATTTAACTTAAGAGATAGTTTAAGTGCAGCACAAGAGTCAAATAATTACCATGAGACGAAGTCGCCAGTCACAATCGGCTAGGAAGCTACGTCCTTGAGTGCAGATAACGAACCGAATCAGAAACACTTAAGTGTAAGTGAGTAGGTAGTAGGAAATACTTGGAAAGAACTTGAATCGTCTTAGATAAATTTCATCAAGGTAAGTAGGTAATTATCAGAAGAAAGTGCTCAGCCAGTAAGACTATATAGCTCTTAAATTTAAACAAACTCAAGAATGTTTTGTAATTTAGTCGCAAATTCAAGCACTTGAACACTGGTGGTGAATTACCGAGTACTGGAACCCAACCCCGGACATGACCACCTCGTTGATAGCTCTGTGTCAAGCAACTTCGGCCGAAGTTGCGAAGTTGTACAGGAAAGACAAGGGGCCAGATTCACGAAGCAGTTACGCAAATACTTACGAACGTGTACATCTTTCCTCAATCTTTGACGGCGTTGGTTACATTTATTAAACAGTTTACAAGAATGAAAACTTGCCAATCAACTATTGTTATTGTTATAAACAGCCTCCAGGTGCTTCGAAGCTCCTTAACTATTTAATAATTGTAAACAAAGCCGCCAAAGATTGAGAAAAGATGTACAGGTTCGTAAGTGTTTGCGTAACTTCTTCGTGAATCTAGCCCCAGGAATCGGGAAGAGGAGAAGGTGTTGCCCAGATCTCTTCCTAACAACATGCGCAGCCCCTGCAGGTGTGTCCACACTCGCCCCTGCAGGTGTGTCCACACTCGCCCCTGCAGGTGTGTCCACACTCGCCCCTGCAGGTGTGTCCACACTCGCCCCTGCAGGTGTGTCCACACTCGCCCCTGCAGGTGTGTCCACACTCGCCCCTGCAGGTGTGTCCACACTCGCCCCTGCAGGTGTGTCCACACTCGCCCCTGCAGGTGTGTCCACACTCGCCCCTGCAGGTGTGTCCACACTCGCCCCTGCAGGTGTGTCCACACTCGCCCCTGCAGGTGTGTCCACACTCGCCCCTGCAGGTGTGTCCACACTCGCCCCTGCAGGTGTGTCCACACTCGCCCCTGCAGGTGTGTCCACACTCGCCCCTGCAGGTGTGTCCACACTCGCCCCTGCAGGTGTGTCCACACTCGCCCCTGCAGGTGTGTCCACACTCGCCCCTGCAGGTGTGTCCACACTCGCCCCTGCAGGTGTGTCCACACTCGCCCCTGCAGGTGTGTCCACACTCGCCCCTGCAGGTGTGTCCACACTCGCCCCTGCAGGTGTGTCCACACTCGCCCCTGCAGGTGTGTCCACACTCGCCCCTGCAGGTGTGTCCACACTCGCCCCTGCAGGTGTGTCCACACTCGCCCCTGCAGGTGTGTCCACACTCGCCCCTGCAGGTGTGTCCACACTCGCCCCTGCAGGTGTGTCCACACTCGCCCCTGCAGGTGTGTCCACACTCGCCCCTGCAGGTGTGTCCACACTCGCCCCTGCAGGTGTGTCCACACTCGCCCCTGCAGGTGTGTCCACACTCGCCCCTGCAGGTGTGTCCACACTCGCCCCTGCAGGTGTGTCCACACTCGCCCCTGCAGGTGTGTCCACACTCGCCCCTGCAGGTGTGTCCACACTCGCCCCTGCAGGTGTGTCCACACTCGCCCCTGCAGGTGTGTCCACACTCGCCCCTGCAGGTGTGTCCACACTCGCCCCTGCAGGTGTGTCCACACTCGCCCCTGCAGGTGTGTCCACACTCACCACTGAATGACCTTTCGGCTTTGGACTCCGGCTCGTATCAATTATTTTTTCAATCATCATCTTGAGCTAATGTATCAGGATCAATTTACCTTGCGGTGATTCCGTGATTCAAGGTCCCCACGGCCCGGTCTCTGGCCAGGCCTCCTAACAAACCACGTAAATCATTGCTACCCATCTGTCAGAATCACTATTTGCCAGTAAACTGGTGCCAGAACGAAGAGGGTTAAACTACATGGACAGGTTAATAGAAATCCACAGCCTAGAACAAACCTTGCGGGATATGATCACAACATATAAAATACTGGGCAGAATAGACGAGGACAGCCTCTTTCAAACAGAGAAAGTAGAACAAGATGACTTGAATGGAGGCTGAAAACACAAAATATGTCTAAGAAATGTTAGGAAATACTCGCACCTTAAAAGGTAGAATGCACAGAAGAAGAGAAGGTCGTGCAGCGCGCCTCCATCCACACCTTCAATACCAGATCAAACAAAGAATTCGAACGCCAGAATATATCAATTAGAACGCAACAGGTACACCAAGGCTGACAGACGGGGCATATGGGGAGCCTACTAAATCACACTCCTCCAGAGCTAGGAGAGGACTAGTTATTAGGGCTAGATAGTGCATGTTAAGGAAGCACAGATGGGCAAGCACCCCCTCTCCCTTCCCTCCTGCCTCTCCGCAAATACCAACCAACACTACCACCACCCTCCCCACACAACCACCACCCCCAGCTACCACTTGAGTTGATCAGGTGACCACTGGGACAGGAAGCCGGCTGATAACCTAGCAGGCGCCTACCCAGGGGGTGTGTAGTGGGGTGTAGGGGGTGTGTAGTGGGGTGTAGGGGGTGTGTAGTGGGGTGTAGGATGTGTCACGCCGCCTGTGTAGTGTTCCCCAGCCTCGACCCACGCTGCGCCTACTGCTGCGAATCTGTTTAACATACACCTCAAGTGAATATACCCACGCGGGCGCAACTGTATACCTATGCTGGCCGCGCGTATTGGAAACACTTTCGCATGCATCGTAATTAACAGTGCTGGGCTGAACGTTAATGCATGCGGCAAGCAATATGTTCTTTGTTTACATAGTGAGCTTGCTATAGCAACCCCTTGCTGTTATAGATCGTGCTAGCAGCCCGTGAGTGCAAGCCACGCTAGCATTCCGTCTGCAACACGAGTACACACAAAGTGTGAGGAGGACGTGATTGAATACTCCACCAGAGTGAAGGGACATGAGTGAACACACCACCAGAGTGAAGGGACATGACTGAACACACCACCAGAGTGAAGGGACATGAGTGAACACACCACCAGAGTGAAGGGACATGAGCGAACACACCACCAGAGTGAAGGGACATGAGCGAACACACCACCAGAGTGAAGGGACACGAGCGAACACACCACCAGAGTGAAGGGACACGAGTGAACACACCACCAGAGTGAAGGGACATGAGTGAACACACCACCAGAGTGAAGGGACATGAGCGAACACACCACCAGAGTGAAGGGACATGAGTGAACACACCACCAGAGTGAAGGGACATGAGCGAACACACCACCAGAGTCAAGGGACATGAGCGAACACACCACCAGAGTGAAGGGACATGAGCGAACACACCACCAGAGTGAAGGGACATGATTGAACACACCACCAGAGTGAAGCAACATGAGTGAACACACCACCAGAGTGAAGGGACATGAGTGAACACACCACCAGAGTGAAGGGACATGACTGAACACCACCAGAGTCAAGGGACATGAGTGAACACACCACCAGAGTGAAGGGACATGAGCGAACACACCACCAGAGTGAAGGGACATGAGCGAACACACCACCAGAGTGAAGGGACATGATTGAACACACCACCAGAGTGAAGCAACATGAGTGAACACACCACCAGAGTGAAGGGACATGACTGAACACCACCAGAGTGAAGGGACATGACTGAACACCACCAGAGTGAAGGGACATGAGTGAACACACCACCAGAGTGAAGGGACATGAGTGAACACACCACCAGAGTGAAGGAACATGAGTGAACACACCACCAGAGTGAAGGGACATGAGTGAACACACCACCAGAGTGAAGGGACATGACTGAACACCACCAGAGTGAAGGGACATGAGTGAACACACCACCAGAGTGAAGGGACACGAGTGAACACCACCAATATCACTGTGGTGGTGAGTAACGATACCTTCGAGTGGAGCCTTTCATGTAATATTGTGTTTACTCATTTACAACCACGTGTACACAGGTGGCTGTTATACACACGTGACTGTACACCGTGAGTCACACAGCTGACTCTGTACATCTGAGATCAGGGATGTTGATCGGCTTATTATGAAATTGCACCTTCAAGATGGTCCACGTGTTGCAATTACACTGTGTACTCTCCTAACTGCATCTTGCTTAATTGTTGTGCTATGAAGCTTTAGCTCTTGAGTCCCTCCTCTCCAACCTTCAATCAACTGGTGTAGACAGGTTCAAAAGTCTGTTCCTGGATGAGCCAAATATGAATATGTATATCCGTGTGTGTGTGTGTACATGGGACTGTGCACATGTACATGGGGTGTAAGGCAAGCCGCACACAACCTGTCACAGGCCATGTAGGTGGTGTGGGGACCCCCGCGGCGTCTCTGGTGTCCGCCTCACACCCATGAGAATCTCCTCCCCCCCTCTTTATGCCTTGTCACCAACCCTTTCCATCCTGCACACCTCTTCTCACTCCCCTCCCATCCCCTCCCCTCCTCTCTTCCCTCAGTCTCCCTAGCCACCTCCTCTTCTCAGACACCTCACGCCCTCACAACCCACCTCACGCACTCACAACCCATTCCTCTGTGGTCGAGTGATCGGTCGGTCACTATGTACTGTAGCAGCGCTCTTTCCCCCTATTAGTGTAAGAGACAGGAAATCGTTACCTGCAAGATACCTGTCTCACTTTGCTTGTCTGTCCGAAGTTGCAGGACAGACGCCACGCCGAAATTTGCAGAGCAAAACGTCTGTAGTCCGGGACGGACATAGGCCGGTCGGGCTGGACCTAAATATTTCAGGAAATATTAGCAATTTGAACCTCCCCCCCCCCCCCCCAACTCCCAAGGCCATTTTTATGGAGTCTTCCATGGAATAGTGTGAAATATGGTGTGTGATTAACGTGGAGTTGTTATTGTTAAAAAAAATTATGGAGGGAAAAAAGGGAGAGGGAATCGAAAGCTCTTCATGAGTGGGGAAGCAGAGGGGGGGGGGGGGGGGGGGGGGGAATGAGGGGGGGGGGGAAGCCCACTATTGAGCATTCAATCATTCCTCACCTTCCTTCCTCTCACCCTCTAGTGCCTACTGAGGCTGACACACACTCCTCCACATCTCAAGCTTCTCGTCTCCGGTTATCCCTCATCAAACTTTCTTCAAGCTTTCTTCATCTTCCACTTCTCTTTTACGTCTTTTTACTCCAACCACTTGGACAAGACGGTAGAGCGACGGTGTCGCTTCGTGCAGGACGGCGTTCAATCCCCGATCGTCCAAGTATTTGGCCACCATCTCCTCCTCACAATTTATCCCAAATGTGCTTGTCCATTTTAAAGAATGAAGAACCATTTCTATTTATATTACTTCTAAGCTGCATCACTTGTAAACCCATCCCTGCCCTTGTGTGGCAGTGCACAATAGAAGGTTGTTTTCACATATTCACACATTAAAACATTGATTGTAACCATGATATCAGTGTGCTTCAGCCTACAGTTTAGACCTATTGTCTTATGTATGACCCTCTGTCCTGCGTGACAGTGAAGACCAGCATTATCCTCACTTTAATAAGACTTTATCAAAATCCTCAGATTAGGCAAAATTGTAATTAATTTTGTCAATAAAGATGTTAATAATAAATAACCATCTCCCCGTCCCATCCCAAATCCTTATCCTGACCCTTTCCCAGAGCTATATAGTAGTAATGGCTAGGCGCTGTTAGTTCCCTTCCCTTCAGTCCCCTTTTATCATCTAACTCCCAAGTCCCCAGACATTATTGAAGGGTTAGAAAAGGAGAAGAATTCGTGAAGCGTACGAGGCTGAGTGGACCCCGCCCAAGATCACTAGTTCAGGAAGTTATACGGAAAACTTTAGACAGGTGAGAGTGCACGCACGCCAACACGTGCGTGCGTGCGTGCGTGCACCACTCTGGTGAAGGGTTGATAATGTTAGTGGCGGCCACGGGGAACCTACTCTTAACTTTGTCCTCCTGCAAATGTTTTATACTAAAACTTAATATATTTATACACGCGGTTTGTCGGGTGGTAATTTTCGCGGCTGGATACCAATTTTGGGGAGAAGTTATACGAATATGATCAGGTATCCAAAGGATACCTGATCAACCAGGCTGTGACTCGTACGTCAGGCTGCGAGCAGCCTCGTCCAACAGCCTGGTTGATCAGTCCGGCAACCAGGAGGCCTGGTCGACGACCGGGCCGCGGGGACGCTAAGCCCCGGAAGCACCTCAAGGTAACCTCAAGGTAATACTTTTCTTGCGAGTTAGAAATGGGCATATTAAACGCGCGCACACGCACGCACATGGGGTCTCACAATTCAGTTGGGTACAGCGTTCCCGGGTCGTAGTTCTAGGTGCCCGGGTTCGATTCCCCGACAAGGCACAGGTTTGGGCAAAGTTTCTTTCACCTGACTCTTCCTCGCCCCTGTTCACCTAGCAGTAGATAGGTACCTGAGAATTAGACACCTACATGCTGCATCCTGGGGATGTGTGTGCTCACCTAGTTGTGCTTGCGGGGGTTGAGCTTTGGCTCTTTGGTCCCGCCTCACACCCGCCACCTGTGTGTGAGTGGAAGTGTGTGTGTGAAATATAAATAGAAGATATGATAGAGGCTAAAAGGAGGGATTCCGTACATTAGCAACTGATGGTTAGAAAGGCAGAGTCTAAGAGCTAACTCCTCGATCCTGCAGACACAAGTAGTAACCCCCCCCCCCCACAC